CTCATATATAGAACATGCATGTAAGAGTGAAACTTGGAGGAGATGCCCTGATCAATATCTTGATTGGACCATATTTCGTTAGGATGAACTCGATTAAACTTGTTCATGCTGTGAACCATTCAATTGCTTGTCCTTTTGAGGCCTTTCTTCTCCCATCTCCACCACGCCGTTAGCCGTGGACTTCTCCTTGGGTTCACCCTTGTTGTTACGGTAGATAAAGTACAAGATGAGCTGCACTGCTCCCAGTCCACACCCGAACCCATTTGGAATCTACAAAACACCATCAATTTTAATGCATATCTTTGTCTTAATCATGGAAATCAAGAAGAATGGCATGATGTGCCACAACAAAAACTTTTAACGACAAGAAAAAGGAAATTGAACTTACCGCAACAAAAGGGTCATGACCAAGAAGACCAAAAACAAACCATGATGTGCCACAAAGGAACACAAAAAGTGACAAGAAGAATGGCATGTACTCCACACTCTTGGTCTTGATCACCATCCTCTGCATATACAGGAAAAGAAAAAGACCCTTCTTTGTCAAATCTCAAGACTCTCAATGACAATCACTTTTACCTTAATTCATGTCAGCAGAAACACATGGGGAGCAATTTAGTTTTAATTTTTGATATGGGTATCCTTTTCATATGTTAAAGATAAATATATGCTGTGATCTTTCATTTAATGACATCCAACAAAATAGAATAACAAATTCAACTCACCATGATGGATAGAGGTGAGCCATACATGAGGATGGAGAAAATGGTAGCAGCCAAACCACAGAAGAGCTTCCTGGTGCTGCCATGGAGGGCCAGGATAGACACCAAGGCCACGGCAGAGAAAACAGTAAGTACAAACGCAAAGAGACTGGAAATTTTTGCCTTCTCCTTCTTCGGCGCGTATATGATAAAGATCAACACATAGATTGCCTCAATTGCTGCTCCTGTCCCATTGATTGCTGTAACCGGAATGTTGTCTTTGGATACAATGGGGAGGCCATACCTATGGAGTTAATTGAATAGATTAAAAGTTAGAAGTATCATTTGTAAACAGTATGCATACGGGTCCACATTAGAAGAAGTGCATAACGTAATATAAAATCAAGACTTAATTTGTTGCCCAGGAGAATCTCTTGGACTATATTTCACGCTTTTTTACAGAGATTTGGCAGAATTGAAAATGTCTAGTTGTTTCATTTCCAATTCTGCTTGAAACCTAAATTACAAGATAATTATTGACAAAGGTTATATAAAAAATGAATATTGGAAGCCAAGATCTTGCTTCTTACCACAATCTCAAGATCCTAATCAAGATTTTCTTTTGCCTCGTTTTAACGTGGGCTATACAAGTAAGCTTAAATTAGATTAATTAATAGCTTATAATAAGTCATAATCACCATGTACCATGCCAAATAAGATAAATTTACCAAATTAAGTCTTAAATTTGAGTTATATGATATGTTAATAACCTAAGTTAAATGATTAGAAATGATTATTTTTATCATTCAAGATCCAACTCTAAACCCTAGATAAAAATAAAATAAAATAAAAAATCAATGGCCAAAAAAAATAAAAGTTTAAACTGACCTATAATACCATGTGACCTTTATAAAAACGAGAACATATATTTTTCAATTTTGTTT